ACTGCAGATGTGAATGAAGTGGGTAAGGGACCAAAATGTGCAAATTTTGATAAACGATCAACCACCACAAGTATACAAGTGAACCAGCAGAATTAGGTAGTCCAATAATAAAGTCTAAGGATAAGTCTTCAAAAACACCATGCGAAAAAGGCAAAGGTTGAAGAAGGCCACTAGGGGCAGCATTAATTGGCTTGATTCACTGACAAATCTGACATTGACGCACAAAAGACTGGACATCAGATCACATATTCTTCTAAAAAAAGAAGAAGTGAGTCGTAAAAGTGTATGAGTGATTCCAGTATGACCCCCAACAGGGGAACTATGAGCCTCGGTCAACAACAATTCCCTAAGGGCAGAATTGGGACCTAAGAGGTACCTGGCACGATGGAATAAGATGCCTTCTCTACAGGTTATAGCAGAATCCGTGCAAGTGCCCTCCTTAATAGAGTGATGAATGCGCAACAAGTCTGGATCAGAACTATTCTCATCTTTAATTTTAGAGACAATGTCAAACATAGGCTCAGAAACCAATGCAGAAAGTTGACCCACCATATCACCTTCAAATTGACGGGATAAACTGTCAGCCACCACATTAGAAGTGCCAGTTTTATATTCAATAACAAATGAATAGCCCATAAGTTTGCAAACATATTTGTGTTGTTCCGGGGTCAGGACAGATTGAGTGAAAAGCTCCATAATAATGCGATGATCCGTGCGTATAGTGAACAAAGAGCCAAGCAAATTCTGGTGCCATTTTTTGACCGCCTCAGTGATAGCAAACAATTCAGGTATGTATGTCGAAGCTGAAGCCATTCGAGAATTGAGCTTCTTGCTGAAATATGATATTGGCCGTCCCTGTTGTAATAGAACAGCTCCCACCCTAGTAAGCGAAGCATCGATTTCCAGAACAAAATCAGAAGAAAAATCTAGAAGGGCTAGAATAGGTGTTTCAGACATAGTCTTCTTTAATTCAGTAAATGCAAAGGCTGCTACCTCAGTCCAAATAAATTTGCCATCACCTTTCAACAAGTCAGTGAGTGGAGCAGCTATCACAGCATAGTTGGACACAAATCGCCGATAGTACCCCGTTAATCCCAAGAAGCCATGTAATTGCTTGAGAGAGCGAGGTTGAGGCCATTGTAGCATTGCCTCAATTTTTCCCGGATCAGCCCGTACTCCATGAACAGAAACGATGGGCCCAGGTAATCAATTTCATTCAGAGCAAAAGCACACTTAGCAAGTTTCACAAAGAAAGAATTTCTTTGACATTCTTTCTTTGCACGAACTAGTTGAAGAAACACCATCATGGGAAGCATAGTTTCCTTGCAGCAACACCAACTGATCGTTCCAAAAGAACTCCATGGAAGAGGTCCTGTAATCATGAGTAACCCGTCCCAACTGACTCAGCCATTGCATGCCCAAAACGACATTAAGCCCAGAAAGATCAATCGTATACAGGTCTACACTAAACTCATGATCCTGCAAAACCAACCAAACTTAAGTGCACCACCTGTCACACAACAAAAAATTACCATTCCCCAGGAACACACGCATGCGTTTACAGCGAGAAGATTTTAATCCCAACTCAGCAACTAACTGCTGTTGCACAAAATTGTGCGTGCTACCAGAGTCTACCAGCACCGAGACAGATTGCGCCATTAAGACAACATCAAATCGAATAGCTTGAGGGTTAACTGAACCGGAGAAGGAATGCAGCGCGGTATCTACTTGCTCCACAGCGTTGGTGTCCGAATGCCACAAAATTTCCTCCCCTGTATCCTCCGCAGATTCAATAGGATCGCCACATAGTAACAACATTTTAGCCTTACATCGATGACGAAGGTTCCACTTCTTATCACAAGTAAAGCACAACCCCAGATCTCTCTTCCGTTGCATGTCATCAGGGGATACCTTCCTAATCGGTAAGGGAGAAGGTAAGGTTTGGAAGAGAAGTAGAAGCAGAGAGTGCAGGTTTTCCAGCAACCTGGTGAGAAGCCGTTGTAGGCACATTGGTGAGCGATTTGGTGGAAGAGAATGGCCTCTTAGTGGTGGAAAAAAATGACGAACGAAGTTCGGTGTGGTGTGCCTCATAAGCCGCAGCAAGCTGCATGGCTTGATGGAGAGAGGAAGGCCAGTGGAGTTGAATGGCCCTGCGAAGATCTGAATTCAACCCGAAGATGAAGAAACTCATGAGTTGGTTGTCAGAGAACTCTGTCACCTGATTAATGAGACATTCAAAGTTGCGAACGTACTTAGCTAACGGTCCTTGTTGGGATAGTTTAGACAGCATGCCTTTCAAATCATAATATTCAGAAGCCCCAAACCTCTCCCTCACAGCTATAGCGAACTCAGGCCACGAAGAGACCTTATCGCTCAGGAACACCCACTGGTACCACTCAGAGGCAGAACCTTCCATGCGTAGGCCAACCAAAGAAATCTTCAAGTGTTCTGGAACTTGCTGAAGATGAAAATACATCTCCGCTTTGAAAATCCAGTTATGAGGATTGGACCCATTGAAGATTGGTATCTCCATCTTCACACCTTTCAACAATTGATGGTAGTCGTTTCCATCACCCTTAAAAGGGGGAGGACGGGAGCTCGTAGCAGGGGAGGAAGCAGAGACCAAAAGTTCACGCAGACGAAGCTCAATGGCGAGGATACTCTCGCCTAATTGATCCAACCGCTGATTAAACTCGAAACGAGTAGCCGTAAGTTCCTCAGCGAGATCCTGAACCTTCATCGTGGCCGGAGAAGTTTCCGGTGAGTCCAGGTTGAAAGCACCAGTTTGTTAGGAAAGAAATCTCTAAGAGAAAAAAACAATGGTAACAAACTTAGCTTAAAATTCACGATGAATGCAAATACAACTTTCTCTCCTGTTATAACAAGGAGAGAGCAACTATCCTAACAATCTTTCAACAGAATTTCAGAAAATGCGCAGCTACTTGCCACGTCCCTTATTACAAAGCCAGCACATCACCACCGACATGTGACTCTAACCCTAAAACACTAGACAAAATCCCTCTTCCAAGCTGGTGCCCTTTTCTTCCGTATGGGCCTTGCTGCTTCCACCTTAGGCCTGGCTTCCTGTATCCCATTGGGCTGCCCTTGCTGTTGTGAGCCCGTAACAGTCGACCCCTGATAGTAAGTCGGCCTCCAAGTGTCGAGTTGGAGTGTTGCACTTGAAGAACTTACTACCTTCCTTCCACGTTGATAGAAACACCCTGTCCTAACAATTTTAACTATATACACTTGTCTTATGTGATTTCAATTCAACGAGCCTACATGGAGTTCACTATGACAAGCAATTAAAAATGAACTGCCAACCGCTGTTATCAAACTCGGATCAGTCATCAATTAGGTTAAGGTACTGACTCAATGGGTCATTAGTTCAACCGCATGTTTAATATATATAATAAAATATAAAAATATAAATTTAGAAACATTTAAGCTAATAATTAGAGTTAGTTTAGTGATCAGTGCTATAATTTATAATCCACGTGGTCTAAGTACGAATCTCATTAGTGGTAATTTTCAAATATTTTGTCTAAAATTTTACTAAACCGGTTTTTTTTTTTAAAAAATCTTACTAACTTAATACAAGTTAAACCCGATTCAGGACCAATTTCATACCGGGTCAAATGCATGATTGATCCAATACCGATCCAATTTAAGAGTTAACCGGTCTAATCGGCTGAGTTAAGTCGATTTTTATAACACTTCTGCCAATACGTTTAACTATCCACACAACTTGACCGGTCTAAGCGATACTCGTCGAGCTCGACCACAATACTAATAGTATAATACAATAGTGCACACCCCGTGAGCTCATTTTACCAATTGACTTTACAAGATCCAAGGGGAACTTTAGCTAGGAATGATGCTCCACTACGCATATATATAAACCCAAAATCCAAGATTATTTTGACACCAAAGCTTTACCTGTAATTTTTTACTGCCCAAAACAACCAGTCAAGCTACTAAAATGCACTATTTACACCCCTGGCTAGCCTTCAACTTGGTACGTTTTAAAGGATACTTGTGTGACGAAATCACATTCTCGAAAGTGCAATATCACAATTCACAACGTTTAAGCTTGGCTTACCAACCATCTTAATGAAGTTCGCGGGGAACTTCTTGGCTAAGAATGATGCCTTAATGTGTATACAAACTCGGAATCTATGTTCATGAGCTACCAACAACACCTAGGACAAGCATCGTTCCTCTCATACAACCATGCAACCTAGTTTAGAATCTAGATAGATCAATATTTTTTTAAAGTAAAAATAATACCTTCTGAAAAATACTTTAAAAAGCTATATCATAAAAACCTTTTCTTCAAAACCCAAACAAACGTAGCTCAAGTTGGCATTCATATTTCCTTTTCATATTTGATAATTAAATTTAAAACGTTGACAGTCACTACTCATTCATAACAACTTCTGTTAAAAAATTTATAATACCGAATAGCATTACTTATTTTACAAACTTATTTAGCCGTGAAATAATTTAACTTCTTATGATCTTGTGTAGCCATGTAAGTGTTCTTGTATTATCATTTGAATGAAGTCTTCTCGGTCAATAATAACTCAATATATAATACCTTAGGCTTCAACTGCTTAACCATCTGCTTCTAAGTTTCATGTAAGTATAGTAAAATTCAAAGACATATACAACTTTAATCTTGAAATATAATACAAATTACTCAAAGCAGTGTAGAAGCAACATTATTATCTACCTTTTCTAGTTGCATCTTAATGAATCCAACCTATTGCATTTAAGTTGGTCAAAATGCCACCATTTTCAGAAGTAGAACATAAAAACATCAATTAAAGAGCACCTTAAATTGACCTCCTATGCTAGTAGGATCTGCATTAAATCATGGGAAGAGCTTTATTATATAAACACTTGAATCCAAGGTAAACCTCCATCCACATCCAAAATCTAGTCCTCAATTCAGTTAATACAAACACACCAACCACACATCCAAAGGTTCTTTTTCAATGGCAACCTTGTCAAGTTTAGTTCCTTTGGTGATTCTTAGTTTAGTTTTAGTAGTTGGAGTCATGGTAGGTGGTGCTGAAGCAAGGGCTTTCTTTGTATTTGGAGATTCACTTGTTGATAGTGGAAATAACAATTACTTGGCCACCACTGCACGTGCTGATGCCCCTCCTTATGGAATTGATTATCCAACTCGTAGACCAACTGGCCGTTTCTCCAATGGCTTCAACATTCCTGATCTTATCAGTTATGTTTTCGTATATGTTAACACTTCTTGAACCCCTTTTGCTCCAACATTCATTTTTTTTTTTTTTAAACTTCAACTCCATCATGCACATTTGAACCCTCCTATGTCCTAGATACATAAGATGATAAGAGTGTATATCTAACTAGTTGAATTGTTTCAGGTCAGAGACTTGGTGTTGAGTCTGCATTGCCATACTTGAACCCACAATTAAGAGGAGAGAAGCTCCTAGTTGGTGCCAATTTTGCTTCAGCTGGAATTGGAATCCTTAACGACACTGGAATTCAGTTTGTAAGTTAATTAATCACTAATTCCTATGTTACCATCTGATACATGTCAATAAAGCATGCTCAAAACCTTAAGCATCAGCATATGTAAACATAACCCAATTAGATAAATTCTAAAAAAAAAAAAAAAAAAAATTGTAACAGATAAGGCTAATTAATTAAGGTCAGCAGTTAGGAGATGATTAATAAGTGCAACTTTTGCAGGTAAACATAATAAGAATGTATAGACAGCTAGAGTATTTTCAAGAGTACCAGAACAGATTGAGTGGTCTAATTGGAGCAAGTAGAGCTAAAAGCCTAGTGAATCAAGCACTGGTTCTCATCACTGTTGGTGGCAATGATTTTGTAAACAACTACTACTTGGTGCCATTTTCTGCAAGGTCACGCCAGTATCCACTACCTGAATATGTCAAGTATCTCATCTCTGAGTACCAAAAGCTTTTGCAGGTAACACCCCATCAAACATAATTAATGGCTGAGTTTAAATAACTCTATTATGCTTTATAGCATTGCTTGCTCCAAACAGAACACTTGTGATTCCTATTTGTCTTTATGTAACAATATACAGAAGCTGTATGATCTTGGAGCTAGAAGAGTTCTTGTGACAGGCACAGGACCATTAGGTTGTGTTCCTTCAGAATTGGCACAACGTGGCAGAAATGGACAATGTGCTGCTGACCTACAAAGAGCTGCATCATTGTATAACCCTCAACTTGAAAGCATGTTGTTACAACTCAACAGGAAAATTGGAAGGGATGTTTTTATTGCTGCAAACACAGCACAAATGAATAACAACTTCATTAGTAACCCCACAGCATTTGGTACTATACTACACACTCTCCACTACACTAACTAATTTCCATGTGAAAATAGTCACAAAGAAACAATACTTGACATTTATGTTGTTGATTTGGACAGGATTCGTAACATCAAAAGTAGCATGTTGTGGGCAAGGACCATACAATGGTCTTGGGCTATGCACACCACTCTCTAACCTGTGTCCCAATAGAGACTTATATGCATTTTGGGATGCATTCCATCCATCTGAAAAGGCTAATAGGCTTATTGTGGAGCGAATTATGTCAGGTTCTAAAACCTACATGAACCCAATGAATCTCAGCACCATCTTAGCTTTGGATGCTACCACATGAAGATAGATATTTACACCAACCCAATAAATCCAAGCACTCCTTGGATGCTACTTCATGATGTCTCTCATTGCTTTTTTTATTATTGTAGTTGTGATTTTCGTAATCCTTAATATGTAATTGGGGAATATAATTAATGGAAGGCAGAAACTTCCTTTACCTAATGTTACATTGGAACATAGAATGGTGAATTCATTCTAAAACTGTTATTCTGTTCTTTTTTTCGTCTATTGGAGCATTTTACAAAACGAAAACAAATTAATTCATGAACCTATGAGATCTATTCCGTAACCTAGAAAAAAAACAAAAACAAAACCAAGTAAAAGCATTTTACAATCAATTTGTTACAATACTTTTTGAAGAATAGTAAATAAAGTAGTCATGAAAAGAAGATAGGTTTAAGGGTTTAATATATAAATATAATTTGGGAAAGTGTCTCTCATTTTAAATGACATAAAATTATGTGATTTTACGAGAGAGATAGACACAGAATAAACTTTTTTATTTAAATTTTAAATAAAAAACCACCCACTTTCTCTCTCCCATGATTTTCATTTTCTGTGTCTATCTCTCTCCTAAAATGACATAGCTTATATCATTTAAAATGACAAACACCAAGCCCATATAATTTTAACATTACTTATATAGAGAGAGATGCGGTATAAGTTTACAGTTACACCATTTAATAAAGGAAAAAACTACTCTTATGCTATATGTCATAACTTTCTCTCCTACACACCATTCGATAACTGTGTCACCTTTTTTTTTCAGATGATGGAACTCACAAATTTATCTCTATGACATGAAATAACTTATCTCCTTTAACATGAGATTAATAAAACCCTTTAATAAATTGGCTTTAATATTTTTAGGATAAGTTATCTATATTTAATTTCAAAATGATCGTTTTGGGTTAAAAAATTAAAAAATTATAATGATAAAGATTATTATAACCCTAAAATAAATTATAATTATAAAAATACCTTAATTTTTATCTCAAAACGATATTGTTTTGAATTCAATGTAGATAACTTATTTACGTTATTTTGAGAAAAAACGAACCCTAATAAATTTAAATAGAACTAATCGTTGAATTGTAATTATCTCTTACCTTAGTTATTTGTCTTAAAATTTCATTAAAATTTAGTAATATTAAAAGTACAATCCGATTATTGTTACTTTCATATAACTTTAATGTTAATACATATTAATAAAATATTAAATAATTTTAAATTAATATAATATTTTATAAATATTATTTATTACATAAGAATTTTTAATCCAACAGTGAATTATGAGATAAAATTATTCAATAAAAAATTATTAAATAATATAAAAAAAATTAATATTTCTTATATTATAGAAAATAATTTTAACGATCTATATTTTTTTTTCTCCTTTTCTTTTCACTCGGCCTCATGTGAATCTCATATACGTCTATGTAAGAGATAATTTTAACTCTTAAAATACCTAAAAAAATTAATTTGAAAACAAATTCATTTATCACTAAAAAAATTTAACACTCTTATAATTATTCTTAATTTATGCTAATTTAATAATTATAATTTATTAAAAATTAATTTAATTCAATAAATATTATTAATTCTTAATAAATTATAATTGTTAGATCGAGGAAGATAACAATAATTAAATTAATTATAAAAACATTTTGATGGTAAATGAATCCGTCGCCAAAAATTTTTACTTAAACATTAATATCATTTCTCAATTTTCCTTCGTTGAAAGCAAAATGGAACCACTCTCGCTCTAAGATCTCACTTTCTCTCTCTACTAACCTCATCCACATGCCTGCGTTTCACAGTCTCAAGCTTCTACCCACCAACTGTGCCACCAACTCCACCACCCAAAGCCCCACCGCTAGTCCCGTCATCCGCCTCCATCGCCGTCGCCGCCGCAAAACCCTCCGCATGCTCCTCCTCGATCGCCGCCACCAAGATCCTCCGGAAATCACCGACGAGGAGATCCGAATCAGAGTCCGACACAAGTTAAAGGATTTGCTCGTTTCCTCGCCGCCGCCAACTGGAGACGACGAGAGGCGCCGAGAAGGTGAACGTAAAGAGCGGGAGGCATTGCTGCCGGCCGTTTCTGTTTCCGGCAGCGTCGGTTTTCGATTTCGAACTGTCGCGTTTCGGCGCGGCGGAGCCGCCTCCCTCGGGCCGGTTTCGTCGGCGTTCCGGCGTAGATTACTGAGAAGAGCTTGGCGACCTGTGCTCCTCACCATCCCTGAGTAGTCGCTGTTATCCACTGTGAGAACTTTACGGTTACGTTAAATTCTAAGGTTTTTTTTTTTTTTTTTTACTATTTTTTAAAGATTATTATCTAATATTTTTTATACATATCACTTTTTAATGTGGCTCTCTCATTTTTGTTGGTAAATTGTAATACTGTAAGATTCACATACATGAAATGATTGTAAAGGGAAAAGAGTAATTAATTATGAGGTAAAAAGCACTAAGTTTAGAGCCTATTTGACAAGTTCTTTTTTTAAAAAAGTTAAAAGTTATTTTAAGTTAAAGTTAGAAAAAAAAATTAAAATAAAATTGAAAATTACTTGATAATTATATAAAGTCTCGAGAAAAAAGAGAGATAAAATGATTTGTTATTAGAATAAATTATTAAAGTAAATTATAAAATTTATAAATATAAATTTAGATTAAAGATAAAATTAAAAAATAAATATGACAATCCTAAAATTTTGATATACATCTTAAAAAAAAATCCTCCTAATAGTTGTTAGTTTTTTCTTTTTTTTCTTCATTGTAAATTTTTTTTTTATGATAAAAGTTTTTGTAAAATTATGCTTAGCTAGTTGCTACAAAAGAAGAAAAATTAAAAAATAAGAGCTCCTAAACAAACACTTAAAAATGACTATTATGTATAGATCTCATAAATGATATCAAATTAAAAATACTTATTGCGTATAAAAATAGTGCTGTCTATAGTCTATACAATATATTTATTTTTAATTTGATCTATGTAAAATAAAAGAAAGCTTGTGAGCTAAGGAGAAGACATTTGAAATAACATTATTCATGAGCATTATTTGTGCCTGGACAAGTTTCAAAACGTCCATTTTGTTAGGGCACATGTACGAAGCTCGATTCAATACAAAAATGGATTCGAATTTCAAAAATTAGGTGTACTTTAGTGTCCTCTTATAACATACACTCACTAAATCATTGGTTTCTTAAATCATGATGTAGAGCATATTGTTGGCATGCAATGATGGTAGCTTGATGTAGAGATCGATGTAATAAGTAATGGGCAACGGATGAGTAGATATGAGTAGAATAGGCCTGGTTATTATCATTGTGTTTATTTTTATTTTTTATTTTTTGAATTGCCAATTTATTATTGTCTTTGTTGCATAGGGACAAGGTCAGTTTGCGATCTGAGGAAAATGACAATCATACACTGGTAAGGGGGAAAGGATTTTAGTGTCTGTTCTAGACTTGGAGGAATATAAGATAGGTTATTACCAAAATGTTCTGTGATTTTGTTTGTAATGTGATTTTAGGTCGCCTCGAAGATTGTGTTATTGATGTTTTTGAGCTTTGCAAAATCAGATTAAGTATGTAAACAAGGGCCAACAAATGCATATAAGTATTTATTTGCAACGAGAGGTACATGGATATTGGAATATCGTTTTGCTTTCAAGTCTACAACTTACGCGTATGTGAACTTCTTTCAGGTTAAGACGGAAATATGTCCATTCTAGGCTAGTTAATTCAAACAACAGAAAATGGCTACACAAAAAATTTGTGGGTGCTTTTTTTTTTAATACAATTTGTGGGTGCTTTTGAATTGTACTACATTTGACCAAAACAAGATGTTTCTTGCATCACAGAATTGAAGTTTTGAAGTCTATTATAGTTCAAAATAAAAACATGGGCCAAAGAAAGAATGGTTGGATTAGTCGAATAAATTTTGGGCTCATGGCTAATCACTTGTTTGAATCTAATAGAATGTTTTCGTCCAAGCATAACGAAAATGGTAGTTTAAATGGTTCGTGCAAAAAATAAAAAAATTTGCTGGCAATCGCTTCGAGCATTGTTAGACTTATATTTTAGGCGTATCTCCTAATGCTATTTTTCTTCATTCCTACTCTAACTCGATAACTTAAACTGTCGAGATTTGAAAGCCATGATTTTTACCTAAAACCTTGACAAAATTTATCACGGTTGAATATTTTGGCTTGTCTCATTGACTACTAGCTACCAGTTCGCCCTTTATATGGTTGTTACATGTTACCAAACCACCACTTTATTGGTTAAGGAAATTGCTTTTGATACATAAAACTTTTGTACCAAAGTTTAAGTTTATGACGTACTAAAAATCAAAAGGATGAAGTTGGTTTTGTAATAAGCGTAACGTGCTTATCTCACAAATGTACGATAAAAAAAATGTTGGTTGTGTGCTGGGGCGGACCTAAGGAGGGGTGAGCATTGACTATCACTCTTCCTAAACTTTAATTTTTTTTATTATTATATATATAATGATATTTGTCTTATATGTTACAAAATAGATGACTTTTTGTATTCTAAAATGGTAATTCAAATTCTGAAAATCTTGACATTTATCCCCCAATTTGTTATTGTAATCGTTGGCATTTATCCCTCAACGTATGATTGTTTAATACTAGTTTAATTACCCTTCATTGTTATAACCCTATATAAATGGGTATCATCATGCTAATTGATAGTGACATCTTTCTTAATACACTCTCTTATCTTCCCTTAAATTACTCCCTAACTTTCTCTCTAATTTTACTTACTTTCTCTATACGAATTTTCTTCTCGAGACCTTTTTTCTATTACACGTTATCAGCACGACCAGCTCCATGAAAGAAAAATCTGCAATGACACTTTCTTCAAAACCATAGCCTCTTTTCAAAAAAAAAAAAAAAAAGCGTTCTTGATCCTCGGAAGAGAAAAAGGAACAACCTTTTTTGTCTATAAGATATTTTTGTTAACAAGGTTGTACATTCTTCTTTTTACTCTCCTTCTACCATTTTTTTTTCTTCTCTCTTTTTGATCTTAAATTTGACATACCCCATTTGTCCCTGAAGTGACAATATATTTTTGCTTCTGAAGTAGCAGTATCATGGCAAACATTGAAAAACCAAAGTTCCAAATCCTTGAGGTAAATGATAATAATTACCTGTCTTGGTGTCTGGACATGGAGATGCACCTTCAAAGGCAAGGTCTCACTAATGCTATTACAGAAGCTGGAAGCTTTGATGAGAATGGTAAGGCAAATGCACTGATTTTTATCCGTCGTCATTTGCATAAGAGCCTATAGACTTAATATTTGTCTGTTCGAGGCCCTCAGATTCTCTAGAAGAGGTTGAAGGATAGGTTTGATATTGTTATCCTTCCTCTAGCTGCAACTGCAAGATTTTAAATTAGTGTCTGATTACAATTATACTTTATTTAATATTGTCTCACGACTTGAGTTATGCGGTAAAACGCTAACTGATGCAGAATTGCTAGAGAAAACTTTCTCCACCTTTCATGCTTCCAATTTAATATTGCAACAGCAATATAGGCAAGGCTAATTTGCCACGTATTCTGAGTTAATCTCAGTGCTCTTATGCTAGTTCAGTGAAAAATTCTAGCCATTTTAGGGCTATGATCGCGGGCATGGAAATTATCATCGTAGGGGTGGTAGAAATTTTAACCTCCATGGAAAGGCCAATTTTGGCCCAAATCATGATAAAGGAAATAAGCAAATGAAATTGGCAAATGAAAGGAAGGTGGTTAATGATATTGTCTGCTATTGTTGCAAAATTACCGGACACTAGTCGCATACTTGTCGTACGCCAAAACATTTTATCGATTTATATTAGGCATTTGTGGAAAAGAAAGGTGAGCGTAGTGAATCTCATGCTACTGAAATTAAGCCCAGTGCTAAGACCAATAATATTTTTGTTGATGGGACTCTGAAGCCTGAATTTTTATTTTGTCATAATTTTATTTTTCTAAGCTTTGTTATTTACTTCTTGTTGATTTCCCCTATTATGCATTTTATTTTTTCTTTTTGTTGTCATTTTTATTTGGTTATAAAAGGAAGGCTTATGGATTTATATGATATGTGTTTAATGATTTTGTTTATATTGTTGTCTTGAAGATAGCAAAATATCTCACTTCTTTACATTTTAGTTCTTATCTTATATTGTGATGTATATTAGAACTACCCAGTGAGCACAATATTTATGTCACTTATTATTCAATTAAATAAATCAGTTTTTCTTGTAAATTGCTATTAATTTTGTGATAAAAAGCAATTACAAATTTTTTCTTCAATCAAATTTAATTTTTGAAATGAATGAGAAACCTTTGGAGCAATTTATGTTTTTTTCTTATGCATTCATGAAGAGAGTTGTAATACATATTGAAACCATTCATGCTTGCTATGATGATATGTAACTGAATGCACTTTTTAAAATTGTTGGGAATCAAAATTAATGTTATAATTATTATTTTTATTACTTTTCATTCCTAATGACTATTAGTTTGCATTTTATTGAGAAGAAACACCTATTTATCATGATTATAAAAATGGCTTTTATATGTGTCTTGATTATATTTGTTCCACTTGTGTATATATTGATGAGTTTGACATATATCTCTTGTATATTCGAATATTTGTTGAGATGTTGTGACTTATTGAAATCATGTAGCTTTATTGAAATGGAAATGTGATATATGTATCTTCAATATTTCGAAAAATTGGCATATTGGAAAATTTTCTCAAAAATTGAAAATACGAAACACATCATGGAAATCCAAGACGGATTATCGGTTATTGCTAACTTCATGATGAAGTTATATTTTATAGATCCTAATAAGGATTGCACAAAGTCAATAATTTCCCAGTCATCATTTTTATGAATACATGTGGTAAAGTTCTTGAAGAACTATAACTCTAGACCATGATTGAAAAGATCTAATTGATCCGATGAATAACTTGAAATAAAATATTGAGAGAAACTATTCTTTATATGTTATACGTCTTGAATATGCTCCAGAAGTAGTCATATCAAGAAAATAGGCTCGTAAAGTTTAATTATTTTGAATTCTAGGAAATTATTTTCAACAAAAAAATCAAATGAATTATTTTGGTTCACATACAAGTATAATTGAACTTGAAACTCAAAAATATCATTAACTTGCAAACTTTAGCAAGATTAATGCCAAATATTTATTATCACAAAGGAGTGACTTAGTCT